ATGAACAAATACAAGAAAATTTTGATGATCAAGAAATAGGCAACTTCCACCGAGAGAATTTTTACATCAACCCTGATTGAATCAATTATTCGTTTTCCGTTCTGATGGTATGGATTGTAGAACCCTAGTTAATACCATGAATGGTGGTAGCATAATTACTGTTGTTGTTCTGACAATATTTTCGGTAAGTAATTAAATTCTGTATATAATCAATCAATCAATTAATCGATTCATTAAATATTATTATTATTTTTTTCAGCTTTATTTGCTGTGGTATTTAGAGCCTACGTATTAGAAAGAAATTCTGCAAAAAAAACCAAATATTGAAACATAGTCAATCAATTAATCTAATGTTCAATAGAAAATTCTTAAGACGCGTGTAAATTATTTTATCAATTTTATGCGTTCAATTAGGCAATTTATTTCCAAAAGTAGTGTTTGCCTGCTCTTATCTATCACCAATCATTTTCTTAGTTAATTATTGATTTTGATTCTGATTCTGATTTTTATAGAATTCACGAAGAAAAATATCGACCAATAATTTACTAAATTTGTCATCATGTTTGCATATAAATAAAATCTTCTAATATGCTCTTCTGTGATAATTCAAGTCAACGACTGAAAATTTGAAGCCTTGGTTAACAGACTCTCTTTGCAGAAAACTCTTTGATATAACTTGTTATATTGTGAAACTATTACTATCATTTGAAAATGTTTATTAATAAAAGAATAATCTTCAATTTAATGCTACCAAGACACAGAAAGACTGAACCAACATTATTATGGTGGACTAGACTTGTTGTTTTAATAATCCTTTCAAGTGGATTAATTGCATATATATATATATTAATCAATTTGATTAAAAATGATGAACCCTCAATTCAATATTCTACTGGTAAAGTCTCGCAACCATTTCCAGGTGCTGTATATTAGTAAATTATTGTCTAATTGAAATGTAAATTGTTTTTTTAGCAAATTTATTCATTCTCTTATTATCTTAAAAGAAATTAATATCACTCTGCGAAAACCAAATGCAACAATCATGTGCTATTTTCAATTGGCTGCTGAACATGGTATACCAGTAAAGGATTGTTCTGCCAATATTGAATCGTTTGCCAGTGAAATAAATGAAACAATTTATAAATTTACTCCTCTTGAAGATATGAATGGTATTAATTGTGTGCATCTTTCTTGGTATCATATTATTAGTATTGACATCTCTAATATTGTTTTTCGTGGAGGTAACTATAAAGCTTTTGAAACCACATACTTTAATTTAGTAAATAATTGTAATTATATTCTGTCAAACAAAATAGAATTAGATGATATTAAAAATAATTATCCAGATCGTGATCTCCAAAAATACATAGATTATCTCCAAAATTACTACATATTTCCTCAAGAAAACTTGGTATCTATTTAATATTAAATACACCAGTGGTTAATATTTTAATATTTTGTAATTAAAGTCATTAATATGATCGATTTATAATCTAAAATTAGGGTAATCAGTATTATATTAAATGGACCAGAAGAAAATACTTGGTTCGTGATTGGACCAATTATTTAGGTTTTCCTAATTATCATATTTCACTTCGTATTGCAGAGCCAATAGCTTCAGGTAACTACAAATTTCAATTGTATGATTGATTTAAAGTTTGCAATATATAATGATTTAACCTTTTCTAATTTCAAAGCACCATTTGAAACCCCTGGCAATTGGACTGATCTATATATTTACCCATATGGGATTGATAGCTATGGTTTTGCAGATGAATATTTTGAAAGCATTGAAACAGAAAAAAGGTGATTGCATATATTTTTGAATATTTTTATTTTTTACTTTTCTAACAAATTTTTTTATCACTACTAGAAATCAAACCGTAAGTATTATATGATATTAGTTAAATATCAAATTTAAATATATTTGATATTTAAACACAGTTTTGTTTTCTCAGGTTTTAAGCAATATTGGTTCACTTGGAGGTGCAATTGGCATACTATTAGGAATTTATGCTATTTTATTTGGTAAGTTTATTAATTCATTTTTAAATAAACATAATATCCCATAAAAATTAATTTTTAAATAAACAGGTAGGCCACTCCCGAGCCCATGGGGAGTCTTCCAAAACTGTTGTTTGTATAAACCAAGATCAAAAGAAAAACTTTTAAAAAATTTACCGATGGTTCCTTTGATCGAAAAAAACCAAATAAAAATTGAAGACCAAAATGTTAAAGAAGAACTTACTTCTCTTATCACAAAATTCCATTCTTTGGAAACAATTCTAAGAGAGTACGTTATAAACTCAGATTTTCTCGACGAATTGGAGACCGGAAAAAATGAGATTAGCAATGATTAGAGTAATAAATCTCTTATGTAAATGCCATACATAGTATTTATTATGTATGAGATATTAATTTATGTTTCCGAAATTTTATTCACTCTTACGTTTTGATATTTGAAAAAATGTTAACTTTTTCAAATAATTCTCCATTATAATATTTTTTTAAATAAAATAAAGGGTTTCAGATTATATCTAATTGTTAGTAAACTAATTAAATTACCTTTTCTTTTTTGTGTTCATTGAGAATATTTTGCTGGAATCAACTGGTTATAACAATAAGCATTGTAATTTGACAATTTGTTTAACAGTAGAGCCTGAATAATTTTTCTTTAGATCATCGGAGTATGGGAACGAAATTTTATTTCTTCTGCTAGATTGCTACAGTGTTTTTTGATTGATTTTTGTAATTTAATAATTGCTTGATCATTCTTATCTGTTGATATGGATATTTTGAGCTCAGTCATAATTGCAATGAGACATAGCATCGATATTACAATGTTCTATTCTGCCACCCACTATCAATTTTCTTTGCTGTTCTTCAACTTGGGTATTTTGTTATAACAACTTCTTTCTAATTTCGTTTTGGATGGATGTTCTTTAGTAAGTCTTTAGTCTCTTCTTTTTATGAACTTTATATTGTAAAAACATTGACGAGTACTGCATAAATCTGTTCTTGGACCTATCATTTGAATTTCATGCGTTGATTGATGACACAATTTGCGAAAAGTATCGTGATTTTAGACTGCTATCTTCTTCGAGACATACAAAGAAAACTCCGTCGACAGATTTGTAATTCATTGTTTTTTCTGGTAAGAATATAAATGATTAGGTCATTCTATTGACGCTCCTTCCCGGGCTTGATAATCCATATATCTCCATGTAATTTAAAAGAAATTCTTTACAGCCCCAGCGATGTTTTTATCAGTCGCCATTTTTTATTTTTCGCTGGGCGTTCTTTTGGTATTGCCATATAAGTCCATTGTTTATCAGGTGATTTTTTATAATAAACGCTGACAACTCAAGAAAGATGTTCAAACGAGACTTTGCTGATTGCAAAATCATGGTAATATTTGAAATAAGAAAACTCTTTGTTTAATAAAATAATTCAATCCGTACAATTATTAATTGACATCGCCAACAATTGGTCTTAATTAAGAGTTAACTCATCACTAATAACTGATTCTTAATTATCGATTTGATCAGAATGTTTCATGATCATGTCATAATTCTTTTTAAAAAAATAGATTGACTGGTAAATAAAAATATAAAAACGAACAAATCAATAAATAGAAAATCTTGGGAATTCCAAATCGTCATTTTTTTATTATTTGATCCAAGCAATCAAATTCACTTTTAATAGAGTTAAAATCGATAGCTTGTCTTTCAAAAATTTTTCTTTTGGAGAATTTGCGATATTGCTCAGAAACATTTTATAGTATGAATGTTAATATCACCAAACTTCGTCGTTGAAACTGAATTACAATCGGACATTTTATTATTACTCGGTTCGTTAGTATTTACGGAATATAATGCTAGCGAGTGTTTATCTATCCTAATTTTATTTATTACTTAAAAAATTCAAGTTCATTAAAAACCAGTTAGAACTTGTATATATATACTCTAAAAGAATGTGATTTACTTATCACGTTAGTGGTACAGTAATGGCAGTAGTAAAAAGTCAATGGTGAGTATTATTCAGTCCATATACCATCGCGCGTAGCTTATTTATTTTTAAACTACGTGTAACGTAGAAAATCCCCTATAACAATGACGTCACAAAAAGATAAAACATAAAATTAGTATATATAATGTTTAAAAATCTTTTTTTAAAACATAATAATTCTTTTTATTTAGACCAAGTTAGTCAAATAAGGCATGACTTATATAATTTATTAACGGACAATTGTAGAAAGTTTTCAATATATAGAGCAAATTTCATATTTTCAACTACACTAAAAAACAATGTTAGGATAATAGACGACAATTTTGACAAGATAAAATTAAATTTTGATGATAATGACAATTTAGAATCAATAGAAGACAATCACGACAATGACAATTTTGGTATTAGTAATAATAATAATAATGTTGGTGGCAAGTTTGATCAGAGAGGTTTTCGTGATTGGACTAAATTAGAAATTAAACAGTTAGAAAGTCTTGTTGAAAAGTTGGGTGAAAATTGGAAACTGGTATCAAAGTATATGTTTACTAAATCACCCACAGAATGTCATAAAAAATATCAAAGCCTTTTAAATTTGAATTTATTACCTGATCATCACAAAAGAACTAGGAAAAAAAAATATGAAAAAGAATCAACTGCGATTTGGAAAGATGAGGAAATCAAACTTTTGAACGATTTGTTTGAGCTATATGGACGTAAGCGGTATAAAATTTGTAAAAACTTTCCAAATAAAAGTTCTCATGAGATAGAATATTTCGTTAAAAAAAATCCTGATAAATTCCCTTCATTATATAAATCTATTCATAGCACATCAGTTAAATGGTCAAAAGATGAAATGAAGGTATTAAACGATTTGATTTTAAAATATAGGAATAATTATGATTTGTTTTTAAAATATGCATCACCTAGAACTCCGGTTGCTAGAACTTCAGCTGCCACATCAAGCTTGATGTCGAAACATAAAACTGATCCGTCTGATGGTGGTGATGGTGGTGATGGTGGTAGTAGTACATCAAATTTATCACAGACACCATCATCAACAATGTCATCAGAATCAACAACACCGTCGTCACATCTTCCTTGGTCGAGGCATGAGATAAATAAGTTGAATGAGCTCGTTGAAAAATATGGTCAAAATTGGAACAAAATATCTGAACATCTTCCTGGTAGAATAGCCGCTTCTTGCGAATTGAAATATGATTTATCATGGAATTTATTATGGAATCAAACTGACGATAGCAAAGCTGCCTCATTAGTTAAACACGATTGGCCAAAAGAAGTAATCGATGCAGTCAATTTACTTGTAAACAAATATGGCAAATGGCAATTGATTCCATTGCTGTTACCAGAATTTACACCTTTCTTTTGTAATTCTCGTATTCCCAAGACACATAAATGGAAATCAATTGAGAAAAAAAGTTTGAAAGAATTAATTGGTAAATATGGGTTTGATTGGGATAAACTTGTTTGTTTTTTCCCACATAAAGGTCCGAGTGAATTACGCCGACACGCATTAAAACACATTACAGATTATCATCCTTATTATCATGTATCACGAGAAATTAAATCAAAGGCTCAACATGTAGAATTTTATAAACCAAATTATCGATCGTTACCAAAACCGGTACAAGACAACAGTAACTGTTGGACTATTTCACGCAAATTTTGGACGGATACGGAAAGGAATTTATTGAAAGATTTATTAAAACAATATGGACACAATTACGAACATTTGACTTCATATTTTCCTGGTAGAACATTCAAATCCATTAAGAATCAAGTATTGTCACAAGAAAAGAACCTAGAAAGATCAGATGTTGATGATGTTTTAAATAATAATAATGATTATGATGATGATGATGATGATGTTAATAATAAAGCAAAAAATCAATTAAATGAATTCAAAAGAATTATGTGGACACCTGATGAAGAAATTCAATTAGTCAAGTTGGTTGAAGTATATCATGGAAAGTGGAAGGAAATATCTGAAATTATGAAAATTAGAAGCCCAAGTGCTTGTTATAGAAAATATTACAGTATTTTAAATCCTGAAAGTAAAAGAGAACAATTAAAAACGCATTAAAACATCAGTTATTAAATATTTAAATGTCATATACTCGGGAGGATATAATATTTATTTATTTTTATAATAACTTGAAATTTGTAAGTTCCCATATATATATATATATATATATATATATATATATATATATATAATATTATTTTTATAAATAAGATGTATATTACACCAAAAATTTATTGAATATAATGTATTGTACAAAAAAAAAGATGATTTAATTGGATTCTTTTTTTTTTGTGGAAAAATATAATTCATGATATAATTGTCGTGTTGTATATTCCACTTCCTGAAAAGTAAACCCCTGATCAAAAGCAGTTAATATACCTGGGTGTTCTTCTTCAAAAAACTCCATGCAATGATCATAAATCCTAAACCCAATCTCTTGAATAAGATTATTTTCCCTTGTAAAATTATTTTTTTTGATCTTTATCTTTCCTAATTGATAGTTTTCCAACATCTTTTCGGTAATATTTTGTTCACTGAAATCCTCCTGCTTTTTATAATACTTGTAATATATTATTAATCTCTGGATTTTTACGGATCTTTGCATATCTTTTGTAAGAAGACCTCGTTTATCTGTAAACTTAAAGTAATTTAGGAAATCCTTTTTTTCCCATTCTTTGACCCATTCTTCAATATCCTTTGTTGGTATTTCATATTTTGGATGTATTGAATTATGATTTGAACACATCAATGCCAATTTTGTAGGTAAATCAGATTTCTATTTAAACGAGAAAACGATTATAGATTAATTTTATTCGGAAAGAAAAATAATGATAACTTGCTAGTTTGCTCTTAAATAAATAAAACCTACCAATAACACCTCAATCATTATATCAGGCTTTATATATTTTACAAAAGAATAAATCAATATGGAAAGTTTAATGCGCAATTGCACGTCTGATGTGTTACTAAAACACTTTAATAGTATTGGTAATAATGATGCAGCAAATAGGTTTTGTGCTTTAATAAATTTATCATCTTGAAGTTTGCAATTTGCCCAGTAGTCACCGAATTGATCAATGGTTTCTTTTTCATCTGTTATTTAAACGTTAAATATATGTAATATGTATATAGTGTGCATATAGATATAATTTCTTTGTTGACTTTATAATAAATTTGAATATTGTAAATAAAATAAATACCATCATTTACTGGGTCTATAATAGTTTCACTATATGTATCCTCGATACTAGTTGTATCTTCAACATAAGATGATGATGCTAAAACAATTAATCAAATATATGTGTTACACAACTTTAATATTAATGATGACAATTATCTAGGTAAAGTGAAAGGTGATGAGGATGATGACTAACTTTCTGTTATAGAATCTACCATCATCGAATTTAAAGTCTCGTCCACTTTTTTTTGTTTATAATCTAATTATTTTTTAAATGTTAAAATAGTATTAACGATAATCATAATAATATAATATAATAAATAATATGTATTTTTTTATTAAAATAATGACAATACCGGTTTGAGGACCAACTTTAATTGTTTTAAATGATGATTCAACTTCTAATAAATTCTTCTCGTCGGCTACGTTTTTATTTTGATAACATCAAATTCAAACCAATCGATTAATAAATAATATATATGTATTTAAAAATTATACGCAAATAGAAAAAATTTAAATTATTACTTGATTGTGTAAAATCTTCGGGTGTTGGTATTGATGTTTGAGATTTTAAAAGGTCAGGATTTATAAATTCTTTTTTTTTAAATTGCATGGATATAAATTAATAATAGCACAGAATTATTTTTTTTTATTAAAAAAAAATAATCAAAAATAATGTTATACGTACATACCAGTTACATTAATACCAAATGGATGCGGAGGTTTTTCTATTAATCAGACAAATCAATTTTTTATATTTATTAAAAAAGAAAAAATCAAAACTAGTTGTTATCGTTAGAATAATAACGAATGGAAATACCATAAGGTTCATGCTTATATTCAGGAAACAAATTCAATAGTAACCCGAAAATTGCAGAATAAAAATTGTCATCGTGATTATAATAACAAAAATTTTCTCCAATAAAATTTTCAACTTTTTCAACTATCTCACTTGATGAAATTTGATCTCCGTCTCCACCAATGATTTCATTAACATCCTTATTGATTATTGACATAAATATAGCCTTGGAAATTCCATTATCAAAAATTTTTTTCATTATTTCAGGTAATTTAGTAGCTATCTTTCTTAATAAGTCAAAACTTATGATTTGATCTTCTTTACTGCAAATATATGAGGCATATGTGAAAAATTAAGATTATGAATTAATTAATTATAATAATTTCTAATTTAATAAATATTTGCATACCTCATGATTTTAAAGCTACTTATATATGGTCTAATTATTTCATCTTGTGTGAAAAGCTATAAATATATAATATATATATATATATATTTAGTATAAATCTATACTAGAAATTAATATTTTCATCTAGCATTTGTTAAGTCTTACCACAGTAATTTTAGGCATATTTTCCTCAAAATCATGATTAATCATATAAGTTATACAAATACTAGCTTGATGTAAAACAACGTCTTTTTCATTATTTAAAAATATTGCCATGAGCTCTTGATTATTTATAGTTAAATCTTTTAACATATCAACACTATTCTTGGGAAGATTTCTAGAGTTTCTGCAACAATTTGCCATCAACCAAATTGGTAATGCTCGGTCACTGTCAGACATGAATGGAAATATATTTTGCATTATATGTTGAATGATATCTGATTTTAAAATCAACTCGACACAATTAACTCTATTTGGTATAGAAAATTGCACTAAAGCCTACAAACAAAAAAAAAAAAAGGCAAGAAAACCATTTTTAAAAACATATATACGTATATATATATATATATATATTTTTAATTAGACTTGAAATTACCGCTATGATATCATTTAAATAATCCAAATCATTTGATAAGGGTGTCTCTTTAATTAATTGACATAAATTTGGAATGGCAACTTCTCTCACCGCATTACCAATATGTTTTTCAGCATTATTATCCAACAGAGTTGTTAAATTACACATACATCTACAAGCCATTGTTATCCGTTTTATGTTAGAATTGTCAGAATCTGCTATTTCAAATATTGCTTGTAGGGTCACAATGTCGATTTCTGCACTATAAGCTGATAAATCTGATAATTGAGGAGGTGGTGTCCTTCTTGTCATTAAGGTTGCAAGTTTACGAATAATTAAATTGTAATTCCACCCTTCAGTTAAAGACATGTCAGGGTTTGTCAAAAAGTTTGAAAATCTTGTTAAGGTATCTGTGTGTACATCTGCGTAGTTTGTGATTTTTGAAACAATTGATCTAATTTCTCTAAGTGTGGGGGTACTTCTTGGCGAATCGCCGGTGTTATCTGGGTTAAATCGCATGTTTAATAATGGCAAGGGTCGACGTATAAGTGGTGCTGGAATTCTATGATTTGACATTTTTGTTTGTAAAATGAACCATTCACTTTTGTTTATTTAAAAATGGGCATACTGCGATAAATTTCTCTGGGGTCAAATTCTATTTTTAGTAAATCCGGGTTCGTCATACCTTACGGTCGAAAATAGCTGCGTCTGCGAGTCAGTTATTTCAATTATTTCAATGCTAGCTTCTTACCTAAAAACAACAAAAGATTGTTTGTGTTGTGAATTCAACATGACATAAATTTTCAATTAAGAAGGAAAAGATGGTGGTGTTTTTGTTTTTATTTCTCTGAAATTTCTATTTAGTTGAAGAGCACTTCTGATCAAGTCCTGTACCATTCGAAGAAGCTTTAGCTTAATAATAATTAAAATCTGAACTTCTTTTCTTGGAAAATGATGATGAATGCAAAGGGGATTGGTTTTCAAATCTTGTTATAAAGAAAAAAAAGTAAAATTCCCACTTGAATATAATGTAAAACTATTACGTCAAATTCGCTGCCATTAAGTCAAAAATGACGCAAGTAAAATTGCTTTAAAGGCTAATAAAATATAAAAGCTCACAAAAAAACTTGTAAATATATTAATATATTCCAAGGTCTTTTTTTTATATTTTCTTGTGTATCCCAATTTCTCTTTTTTTTTTCATCAGTTGTTCCAAGGAGCCAAGTTTTTCTTTTGCCGAATATAACTCAGTTCCCACACATTCATTTACGAGTATTTCTTATATTAATATTAATAACGTGATACATGATCAGGGTAGATAAAATCATCAGTATTTTATATTTCAAGGTCAACTAATTTTAGAAAATTTTATGCAAAAGCTTTTTATGATATCAATATTGATCGGTTAAGTTACTTTGCAACCAACTTTATCTTTATCTTATTGTAGTGATCAACGAAGAACAACTACTGGTCCTCGCAGAGGAAAATAACAGATAATTAACGTTCTGATAAAATAAAACTCTGTGATAGAAACATTATTTTTATTAAACGTTAATAAGCTTTTAAAATAAAAATAAAAATAAAAATGTTGTTTTTATTTTCTTTGCTTAAAGCGCTTTGATAAAAGCAAAAGTATAGTTAGTTCCTTGGTAAAATGTAGCAATTATGGAGCTTTGGTAAAAAGCTATGCAAGGTTAGGATTAACGTTGATTAACTAATGAGTATTAACAATAATTAGTAACGTGATTTGCTTTAGTGAGTAAGCAAAGGTTAAGATTAATGTTGGTTAACTAGTGGGTGTTAATAAAGTAAGGCTGTTAAACAAGCTATTTAAGTTGATTTACAAGTAAACCAAAGCGAGTTTGCAATCAGCCAATAAAATAAATTGAAGCCCTTGAGCTTTGTAAAAGGCCATCTTTATTTATTTGCAGTTATCTGGTACCATTAAGTGTGCTCACAGATTCGTCTAGGTGCAAGAAAAAGGTAATCAAAATAAATTTGTAAGCTAATTAATTGACAAGCACCAAATTATTGCAATGAACCAACAAGAGTAGCCAAACTTGTCATAATTAACTGAAATGATACCTCACAATCATGTAAGAAGATTAATAATTTGAGTCATTATTTACCTTACTTTTTTAATCATATAGACACCAAAACAAAAGTTCTAATAAAAAAAATATTTCTTCAATATGCTTGTGAGAAAAAATCATCAATATTAAAGTGTTACTATATACAACAAATTTTTGTATATATATATATATATATATATATATAGAAATGATCCACAAAAGTTTAATTAGAAATTCAATAATTTCAGTTTTCCTTCAAGAAAATAATTAATTTCTCTAAAAAAAATCCATCTTTTTAATATTGATGATGAGCAAAAAAAAAAATTTTTATTTTAGATTTGGAGCATAATAATTTGAAATGTTAAACAATTTGGGATGCTATAAATAATTTGGGATGTCATAAATAATTTGGGATGTCATAAGTAATTTGGGATGCACAAATAATTTGGGATTTGGGAGTCTTGATTTTGAATTTGGGCAGCATCTATACCACATTCACATACTAATACACATCATACATATTGTTAAAAATCCAAAGCTCGATGTGGGTGAACTAATAAATGCTTTATTAATATTAAGAAAAAATAATTGCAGATGATTTGGTACTGCAAATAATTAGTTGATGTAGATATTATATATTTTATAATTTTTATTGATGTTTGATTGTGATGCTTCATATATTAATTAATAAAGCAATATCTTATAAAAATCATTTGAATTTGACAATCCTTTTGAACACTGGTGTCCCAAGTGTTGATCAATGCCATGTTTTGAACTTATTATTCTTGGGGCCTCCTTCATTCTTATTTATTACCAAAAGGGTTTCCTTCACTGTTTGTTCATATGCCAGCTAGAGGAACATTTTTGAATTAGTCAGTTTATACAGAATTGACAAGTAATATTAAATATTTTTAGTAGTTATACCTCAAATGCACGCAGTGTGTCTAATCCATTTAAAAACATACAGCATGTTTCAAAAGACCTTGGCAGTTCCACACTATCACCAGTATCATCAGGAAATTTTCCCTGCTGCAATATTATGTCCATAAAAAATTATGTGATATTTACACTCAATGTAATAATTGCATAATTTTTGTATGCTTATTTGCATAATATTACAGGCCTGCTGTAAACTTATGTAAATAGTGTAATAATTATGTAAATCCATGTCAGAAAAAATTTCCTGATGTCATCTACCATAAGATAAACTCCAGGAGAAATTAAGGTCATTAAATAACCAGTCCACTTTGTCACTATTTATTACATAGAGAGTTATTAATTAGATAGAACAAGATTGATTAAGACAAATTTTCTTGAAGACCAGCTTGCCAAGCAAAACACAATTAATATCAGTTTTTTGTAGAATAATATCTAGTGAGTCCTTCATAAATAATCCCAACTATACATGAAGTCAAAACTATTTTGACCATTTGCAGATCTGGTCGAAATAGGGTCGAAATAAGGTCAAAACTGATTTTTACTATGTAGTTGCCTCAAATCAAAGCATTTCAACTTTAGGGTTTTAATTTCAACTTCATGTATAATCCCAACCTAATCAGATCAATTAGGTTTTTCTTTTCCGTGTTGTTCTTACCCTCACCTGTTACTTCCCCAAACATCACTTCATAAGCAAACATTCCTATTTATGTTAAAGAAAGAATTAGAAAACTGGTTTTTATTTGTTTTTTTTTTTTGTTTTTTTTTTATAAATACCATTATTGACAATATTCCCAATCATATTGGGTTGTTTAGCCTGAGAAGGATCACCAGTAGCAAGCTTTCGGACCTTTGCACTGGTACTGGATGTGTTTGGCCAAATTGTTGGATATATACAAGCATCATGAAAAACAATGTGCAACACAGGACTTATTAAATTCACCACCAGAGTTCCTTCACTAATTTTTTCCTTCAATGAATGCAATGGAATTGTGCAAGACCTGCAAAGTAGTCAAGAAAAAATATTTACCACAGACAATTCATAAAAATGTTTGAATAAATGAGATCAAACTTACAAGTGTTGAAATAGAAACTGTGTTCATCAGAAAAATTCTTTTTCTGTTGTTGAATTGAATGTTTTTGAGAAAGAGCTTGTAATTGTTTTGCAAAGCTTGCACAATCCACCATCATTAGCATCAAGAGCAATCTAAAGCAAGGTAATCAGCAAAGGGAATATTGCAAAAGGGTGATAATATAAATAATAGAAGAATACAAACCTCAATATACTCTTGTAGGATTAATTTTATGTCTCTCATCACTTTTTCCTTTCCAATAAAATTTGATTTAATGTTCTTTCTCAAATCTTTGAGTGTTTCTCTAGAGAATGTTTTTCTGAATAGTTATCAGATTTTAGTAAAAGAATATGCGATAGACTCCTAAAATTTCAAAAAGTAAACATCCTCTATTAATAAAGTTAATTTACTAAAAATATCAATATCCCATTTAGAAGTCCTACTTACAATATTTTGTGATAATTTTTTGTTACTAGCAAACCAGAATTTTGTGCAAGAGTTGATGCTTTGGACTGGTATGATTTAAATAATGATGAAATGTCTTTTGTTTTGAAAATGAACTATAAAACAGTCATTTTTTAGAGAAATCATAATTGCAATTGATTGTGAGAAAAAAAATACTTACATGTTTATCACCCTGATCAATGTATTTGTCAAATCCAATTTCTTCTACATTTAGCCTTAACACACACTCCTCATCACTTTTATCGGAATCATCATTCTCATTGGAATCATTACTATCATGCTTTGTAAATATAGGTCAAATTGGTCAATTTTAAGTCAAAAATCAATAAAAAATCATTATATTTATGACACCAATCTCAGAACCAATAGGGGTCCTAAAATCGTCATCGGTAAAAGAATTCTTGAGTGATGTGTTATCAGTATTTTTGAGTGTGGGTTGTTTTGATCTTGGCTTGTATAATACATCATCAACAGATAATCCTTTTGAGAGCATATGTTGGATGTTACACTCCTCTGATGCATAAAGTAAATCCAAGCTTCCTGTAAGGTGTTTATGCTTTACTGATACCTGTTTTAAAATGACAGTAAAAAGTAAGAAATAACTGATAGAGGTTCACAGTTCTAATAATAAAATTCTGTGTATCTTACTTGTGTCTTTTCAAAGATGACATTTTCCCAATAGTCCTAAAGTTTATTGTTTGCAAGCTCTGATCTTATCTATTATAAAAATCAAAAGCAAGTTGTAATGATGAGAACTGAAACAAGAAACACCCATTATAAAATTAAAAGCAAGTCGCAATGGTGAGGCACAGGATGAGAATTGGTACTCCTGAGTCAGGATAAGAGCTGATTAGGAGTGCTCATCACCATTACTTGGGCTAGGATTAGAACTAATACTTTTAGTCAGGATGAGAGCTGACTAGAAGCTCCCTATTGCTAACTATTATTCTATGCAAATGGTAAGATATTACCCTTTTATCCATATCATCATTATTTCCTGAACACATTTTTGCTTCAAGTGAAAAATGCTGTGCCCAAGTACCATTCAAGCCTGTATATTCATCAGAAGCTGATGTTGAATTGATTATAACGTCATGATGTATATTTAAGAATTTGGTATAGGACCAGACTTTATGAGTCTCCAGTTCTGAAATAGTTGATTGTAGGTTAAGAACAAAGAAAGAAAAAAATTTTTTATTTGCAAACCTACCATTGTGACCAAGATATTTGTTGTTGTTCATCATACAGAATTGTGTTTATTAATTTATAAGAATAATTTTTGATGCACAGCCCCATAAAATGTTGTACAGCATGCAGATTATCTGATTGATTATGCGGATCAGTGAACATGTAATTTCTAGTGTACAAACATAAGTGTAATGTGACTAAAAAATAAAAATTGGGTTCCTTTTTTACATAATATACTTCAAAATTTTCTATAAGTAATTTTTTTCTTCTATGATACTGTTTTCTTCATAATTCAACAGTTATAACGGTATATTTTTTTTATTCTGAGTTGCATATTAATAGAATTATAAATACTTAATTGATGATCCGTCTATGAATGAGAGAAATGTTGATCAATTTATTATAAAAATACGGGGGAAATTTTATATTAAAAGATCGACAAAAAAATATTTTACATCCCCATTACACAATAAATATTTAAAAAATTCTATTCTTGCAAAATTATCATTTTAAAATGTCAATTGAATTTAATTCAAGTT